GGGAGGAGCTGCCGGGTGTGGTGCAGCCTGGCAGGCGGGTCGGGGGGGGGGATGGCTGCTGCACTTGGTTTCCACAAACCTGGTGATAGCTCCTAAGTTATTTCAACGTAGGCTGCAGACACCGTCCCTCCCCCAACCACATGCACACGTACACGCACACACACACACACACACACACATATGTGCATGCAGCCTCCCAGGGATCAGACCCCCAGTGTGTTCTCCCTGGCATGGAGGCAGGGAGGTCACATTGGGAGGGATCAGCACTGGGCTCTTCCCCACTTTCCGTTGCTGTGCTGAGTGGATTTAATCATTCTACTCGGCGAGGAGCCTCAGTGTCGACCTGTGAACCAGGAGGTCGCCGTTCGATTCTTCCGTTGCTGTGCTGAGTGGATTTAATCGTTCTACTCGGCGAGGAGCCTCAGTGTTGACCTGTGAACCAGGAGGTCGCTGTTCGATTCCTGGTCAAGGGCACAGGCCCGGGTTCCGGGCTCCATCCCCAGTGTGGGGCGTGCAGGAGGCAGCCGATCCATGATTCTCATCATTGATGTTTCTATCTCTCCCTCTCTCCCTTCCTCTCTGAAAGTAACAAAAAAATTTTTTTAAAAAAAGAAAAGAGTTTCCGTTTCCCCATGTGTCAAGGCAAGGGATCGCCCTGGGTAGGTTGGCAGCCCCTCAAACTCGAGGACTCGGGGGGCCTCTGCGGGCCTGTCCTGACTGTCATTGGGTGGCCGTAACGGCTCCCACGTCACAGGGCCTGCAAAATTTTTTAAAAAGAAGAAAAGAGTTTCCGTTTCCCCATGTGTCAAGACAAGGGATCGCACCGGGTAGAACAGCAGCCCCTCAAACTCAAGGACTCGGGGGGCCTCTGCGGGCCTGTCCTGGTTGTCATTGGGTGGCCGTAACGGCTCCCACGTCACAGGGCCTGCTAATTGCCACCATCACTCCTTCCCCATGGGAATCGGGGCTTGTCAGACCCCCGGGGCCTCCGTTACACATGCCCGCGTCCAGGGATCTCCGAGTCCGGGTCCTTGGTATCAGCTGGGGGTCTCACGCCAGCCAGCCTGCCCCGCGGGCCTCAGGCTGAGGTTTCAGGTCGCGGCTCTCGGCTTCTGAGAGCAGCGATGTCGGCAGAGGAAGGGGGTAGGGGTCAGAGGAAGGCGGGGGTCGTGCTCACCTGCTCCTCCCTCCCCAGCAAAACCCAGCAGTACGACTGCAAGTGGTACATCCCGCTCACGGACCTCAGCTTCCAGACGGTGGACGAGTCCGAGGGAGCGCCCACCATCCCCCTGGTGGTGGACGAGGAGCTGGACGCCATGAAGATCAAGATCTCGCAGATCAAGAGTGACATCCAGAGAGAGAAGGTGGGCACAGAGGAGGCCGGGCTCTGCCGCTGGAGTGGGTGACCCCGCCTCCGGTTTCTGGGACCTGCTGGGCATCCCCGTCAGGCGTGGAGCCTTCCAGAACGTGGTGTGGGCGAGGGACCCGGCTGCCTTGCTGGGGAGAGAGTCCCAGGTGGCACGCTGGGCCGCCCCGGGCAGAGCCCTGGTTGTTGCTGGAGAGGCGTGGGTTTTAGGGCCAGTGAGGAGTAGCCCAGGCCACAGCAGGTCACATGCAGTGGCCGCAGAGGAGGCGGGCCCCTAGGAGGTTGGCCCTGGTCCGGGGGACCCTGACGGAGGTGGGCACAGCAGGACAGATGTCCTCCTCGCTCCTCACCCACCTGCCAGCTGCTGTGTGCGGAGGCCAGTGGGGGGTGTGCGTGAGGTGGTTTATCCCCACGGAGGGCCTGCCACCTCCCCACAGAGGGGAAGCCAGGCCGTGTCCTTGGGGCTGCGGAGCCGTATGTGCTGCCCCCGGGATGCTCGTACCCATGGTGACCATAGTGTCAGATCTGCCTGGGATGGTGGGGGCTCCAAAGGGAGGCACATGGCACCTGACAGGCAGGGTTTCCCCGACCAGGTCCCGGGGGTGCACCCGGCCTCCATGTGAACCCTCCCACACACTCCCGGGGGGCCTGATGCTGAAATGTGTGTGGTCCCAGGAGTGGGGAGGGGCCCTCGGGGTCACAGCGGCCCCCTGCACAGTGTCCAGGTTTGAAGAAATTGAAAGAAGGGAGGTTTGTAAAGGTTGCTCTTCTGTCCTTGTGAGGCTCAGTGGTTAGAGCACCAGCTTGGGCCCGAAGGGTCTCGGGTTCGATTCCCGGTCCAGGGCACATACCTGGGTTGCAGGTTCATTCCCCGGCCCTGGTCGGGGCACATATGAGAGGCAGCCAATCGATGTGTCTCTCTCTCCCCGCTCCCTTCCACTCTGTCTAAAAGCAACGGGAAAATACCCTCCTGTGAGGATTAACCCCTTCCCCAATAATTTTTTTGTTAAAAACGTTTCTTTTTCAGACTAATTTTTTTATTTTGGTTCTATATAGTATTTTTGATGCTGGTTATGAAAACAGTTTGTAACTCGTCTTCCTTGTCCTGTGTCCTAGAAACCTGCTAACTAAAATAACTAAAGTATTTCCAGATGAATTGTTACTACCTGGTATATTTTCATGTGTTACCTGTCACCCAGATAGCATATCCTTCCAAGTGTCTCCTTTACTACATTTAACCAAAAGGATGTGTAAAATCATATTCATTATGACATGTACAGGGCTGAGCATCGGGGGAGCGGGGACTGGCCGGGCGGGACCAGCTGGCCCTGGCCCTGGGCCGGGGTATGACCGCGACCTCCCCCCGCAGAGAGCCAACAAGGGCAGCAAGGCCATCGAGAGGCTGAGGAAGAAGCTGTCGGAGCAGGAGTCCATGCTGCTGCTCATGTAAAAAGAACATTTTGTGAAAACGTGTATACACATTTCTGCCGGGGAAGGGGTTAACCAAAATAGGGAGGTTGGCTGAGCACGGCCAGCAGCCTGTGCCCAGCCCTGACCCTTGACCCTGGACCCTGGAGCCGGCAGCAGCTGACCAGGGCGCTGTGCTGGGCTGGGCTGA